TATCCCCAGAGATGGAGATTCCACAACCTCCTTAGGCAACTTATTCCAGTGTTTAACCACCCTGACAGTTAGGAAGTTTTTCCTAATGTCCAGTCTAAATCTCCCTTCCTGCAGTTTAAGCCCATTGCTTCTTGTCTTATCAGAGGCCAAAGTAGAACAATTTTCCTCCCTCTGATACCCTTTTAGATACCTGAAAACTACTATCATGTCCCCTTTCAGCCTTCTCTTTCCTAGTCTAAACAAGCCCAATTCCTTCAGCCTTGCCTCATAACTCATGTTTTCTAGACCTTTAATCATTTTTGTTCCTCTTCTCTCCAATTCCTCCATCTGCCTTGAAATGTGGTGCCCAGAACTGGACACAATACTCCAATTGAGGCCTAATCAGTGCAGAATAGAGTGGAAGAATGACTTCTTGTGTCTTGCTCACAACACTCCTGTTAATGCATTCCAGAATCAAGTTTGCTTTTTTTTTGCAAGTGTTAGGGTTACCATATTTGAACTTTCAAAAAAGATGATACTCCTAAGAGGCAGTGTATCTGTATCAGTATCTACCAACTCACGTTGTATTAATGTGAAATATACGTATAACACATATATGACATATATGTCACATTAATAGAATGTGAGTTGGTAGATACTGATACAGATACACTGCCTCTTAGGAGTATCATCTTTTTTGAAAGTTCAAATATGGTAACCCTAAATAGTGTCACACTTACTCATATTTAGCTTGTGGCTCCATTGTGACTCCCTAGATCACTTTCTGCAGTACTCTTTCCTAGGCAGTCACTTCCCGTGCTGTATGTGTGAAACCGATTGTTCCTTCCTAAGTGGAGTACTTTGCATTTGTCCTTATTAAACTTCATCCTATTTACTTCAGATCATTTCTCCAGGTTATCCAGATCATTTTGAATTATGACCCTATCCTCCAAAGCAGTTGCAACCCCCCCCCAGCTTCATATAATCTGCAAACTTAATAAGCATACTCTCTATGCCAATATCTAAATTGTGGATGAAGATATTGCACAGAACTGGTCTCAAAACAGACCCCTGTGGAACCCCACTTGTTATGCCTTTCCAGCAGGATTGTAAACCGTTAATAACTACGTTCTGAGAAGGGTTATCCAGCCAGTTATGCAACCACCTTATAGTAGCCCCATCTAAGTTGTATTTGCCTAATTTATTGATAAGAAGATACTATATATGATACTGTATATATATTTAGTTAGTCTCTAAGGTGCCACAGGACTACTCATTGATTTTAAAGTTACAGACTAACATAGCTACCTCGCTGAGATTTTTAGGTTAGGGTATGGAAGAGGTAATTTTAGCTTTGATGTCTTTAGCATAGCTTTCCTCTAAAATGAAAATGCAGACAGCATTGAAATACAATGAAAAATACAGAGTTAAGGACTTTGTCTTCCATTGCATATATTACACTATAAAAAAATTTCTGCTGTGTGCAAATTAGAGTCAAATCTCACAAAGACTAGTGCATATGAATTGAATAAAGTTTAATGTGTTTAATATTGCATACATATATATTTCACAGCAAGAATAACAGGAGTTCAAAATTTATAGAGGAATTAATACTTTTCTTTTTCTTATTAGGTTTGATTTATTAGATTGGACTAGATAAGTCAGCCCCCCATGTTAATTACACCGGGGATTTAAAAATGGCGGCTCCCCGCTTATGCTAATGAAGCCCGGGAAATTCAAATCCCGGGCTTCATTTGCAAGTGTGGTATGCATACATTACCCCGCTAGTTCGAACTAGGAGGGTAGTGTAGACATACCCTGAGAATGGTTATCCAGCCAGTTATGACCCACCTTATAGTAGCCCCATGTAAGTTGTATGTTCCTAGTTTATTGATAAGACAACCAGGCAAGACCATATCAAATGCCTTACTAAAATCTAGGTATACCACCTCAACCGCTTCTTCCTTATCCATAAGACTTGTTATCCTATCAAAGAAAGCTATCAGATTGGTTTGACATTTGTTCTTTACAAATCCATGCTGGCTGTTACCGATCACCTTCCAGATGGATTCCTTAATTACCTGTTTCATTTATCTTTCCTGGCACAGAAATTAAACTGACTGGTCTGTAGTTTCCTGGGTTGTTCTTATTTCCCTTTTTATAGATGGGCACTATATTTGCCTTTTTCCAGTCTTCTGGAATATCTCCCGACTTCCATGACTTTTCAAAAATGTTAGCGAAAGGCTCAGATACCTCTTCTATCAGCTCCTTGAGTATTCTATGATGCATTACATCAGGCTTGACTTGAAGACATCTAACTTCTCTAAAAAAACCAACAACAAATGGTCTGATAGCACAAAACGATACCATCTACATGTTTTGTTAGTCTATAAAGTGCTATCAGACCATTTTTTTTCTGTACAGACTAACTCGACTACCCCCTCAAGCTTACTTCTCTAAGTAATTTTTAACTTGTTCATTTTTTAAATTTTAACTTCTAAACCTACTTCCTTCCCACTAGCATTCACTGTTAGGCATCCCTTCTGCATCAAACTTCTTGGTGGAGACCGAAATGAAGTCAGTAAGCACCTTTGCCATTTTCAAGTTTCCTGTTATTGTTTCTCCCTTCTCACGAAGCAATGGGCCTACCCTGTCCTTGGTCTTCCTCTTGCTTCTAATATATTTATAGAATGTCTTCTTGTTACTCTTGATGTTTCTAGTTAGATTGAACTTGTTTTGTGCCTTTGCCTTTCTAATTTTGCTCCTGCATATGTGTGTTGTTTGCTTATATTCATCCTTTGTAACTTGACCTAGTTTCCACTTTGTATAGACTAACAGCAGTGGGTCTTTGCCCACAAAAGCATATGCTCCAATAAATCTGTTAGTCTATAAGGTGCCATAGGACTCCTCATTGCTTTTGCAGATTCAGGCTAACACAGCTACCCCTCTGATACTTGCCACTTTTTATATGGCTCCTTTTTTATTTTTAGATCATGCAAAATCTCCTGGTTAAGCCAGAAGTCATCTCCTTTTTGAGCTTAAGAATAAATAAATGGAGTTTTCCAGTAAAAAAAAACTTATGCAATATGAGAAAATTCAAATATGGAGTAAGTTTCTTTCTTTGCAAATATTTTCTGTTCATCTAGTGCCTGGATTTCTGAGTGACTAGAATTTTTCCAAATAGTTTAGCTGCACATCTCTCATTCTCATGGAGGTATCTGTGCTTGTAATTTACAATCTAGTTAATGAATTAAACTAGACTTTGTTAAAAGTCTACACATAAAGAGCAGTATAGCATGCGACACACACAAAAGCAGAGATCAGAGGCTGAAAGCACAGTGGTAATCTAGCTTTGCTTTTGCATAAATATTATGTGAGATCAAAGAATATGTCTTTTCTTTCTAAATTTCTTGTCCCTCTTTGTCAGCTTTTCATGGTAACTTTTAAAGTTTCACAATAAAATTGTCATCTGAACAAAACAGATGAATAACCATAGCAAATACAAGAACAATGTCAGATTGACTTCATCTGCTTTTTCATAGGTTTGTTAATATGATTTATTATACATGATTTGTTTACTCGTTGTCTCTTTATAGCTGGCCTCTTTCCTTTGTGCATCTTAAAGTTGCTAGAATGCTATCACTGCTACTGAATGCTTTGTTCTGGGATGAAAGTGTTGACTCTGCATGCCTCAGCTGTTTAAGTATCAAAGGGAATCATGTGATGCCAGGCTAGTTGTGCAGAAGAAAACATCTATTTCAGCCTATTTTTACACTTCTATCAGGGCAGGCCTGGCGTCTGGAAATTAAAATAGTTTCCATGCTTTAAAGCATCAATGCCAGTGAGATTGGTGGGGGGGAGGAAGGGGGAAAGAAGAGGAGGGAATCAAATGAAAAAAGAAATACTAACCTGCAAGTTTGATCATTTTTCAAATTTAGAAATGGATTCAATTTTTCCCATTCTTTATAGAAGTCTTCTTAAAAACAGACATCAAATAACAGCCTGTAGACAGTATTATCTATGGCAATGGGGTTTCAGCTTATAGTAATGATATAGGGAGAAAACAAACACACAACTCCTATATAATCTCTTCTTCTGAAGAAAAATGTTGCTATAATTTGGTTCACAGCCAACTTATAGGGGATGGAAGTGCAATAAAATTGTAGGGGATGGGAGTGCAATAAAAGAGTCAGTCATGCCCAGAAATTAATGCCAACGTTTATTGTAGCAACAAATCAGCATCAGAAGCTTTCAATGAACTGTTGCACATAATTCATGTTAAAATGGGCATTATGTTGCATGCCAACCTCCAGAAATTTAGGGATTGGTAATGCTGAGGACTCTGACTCTGCTCCAGCAAAGCACTTAACTACTCAGTTGAAATACTTCCCTGGTTCAGAGGTATAATATGCAGCACATGGCAGGACTGAACTCTTAATATACAACAGATTTTGCTATATTTTTAGATTCCATGTGACTAAATTATTCCTGGCATAGCCAAACTGTAGTATTCTAGGCTGTGTCTACATTGGCACCCCTTTCCAGAAAAGGGATGCTAATGTAGACTTCGGAATAGCAAAATCCGTGGGGATTTAAATATCCCCCGTGGCATTTGCATTAACATGGCTGCCGCTTTTTTCCCGCTTGGGGATAAGCCGGAGAAAAGCGCCAGTCTAGACGTGACTGGCGTTCAAAGTAGGAATAAGAGATCCTCCGGGAAAGGGCTTATTTTCTGGAGAATCACGTCTAGACTGGCGCTTTTCTCCTGCTTATCCCCAAGCCGGAAAAAAGCGGCAGCCATGTTAATGCAAATGCCGTGGGGGATATTTAAATCCCCCACAGATTTTGCTATTCCGATGTGTCTAATCTGCATCCCTTTTCCGGAAAAGGGGTGCAGTGTAGGCACAGCCCTAGTGTTTGTGTAAGACTATAATACGTAAATGAAAGTAATCTTACTATACCTATAAAAGCTTTTTCCTGTGGGACAGCACAGTGATGTCATGTCACTCTGTGTCCCACAGTGTCTTCCCCTTCAGTGGCCGGGCCTTCTCCCTCTCTCCTCCCTGCTGCTAACCCCATAATGAAATTGGCAACCTATGGCTCGCAAGATCTAAATATGGCTCTTTGACTCCTTCAACAGCAGCACTCACCATCCTTGCACCTTGAAGGTAAGCTGCTGCTGGGCTTGTGGGAGAAGGGGACCAGGTGGTGAGTAGAAAGGTGGCAATCAGGCCCATGGGGGAGGGGAGGAGATTAGGATTGAAATACATCTTGGTTCCCTGAGCTGCCGCACAGCGGCTGGCTGTACCTCTGGCACTCACCATGTGGTGGGTGGCTGCCGGTGTTTTAAAGACAGCTGCTCCATTTCTGTGCGTTGGTGGTGGCGGGAAGGGAGGGAGAGAAAGTACAGGACTGGCAGAAGCAGGGCGGGGCCTGGGCTGGCGGACGGGGAGAGCACAGAGAGGGGGGGAAAGGGGAAGGGAGAAGGGACCCTGGCTGGTGTGGCTGCAGCCCAGCCCTTCCTAGTGTCTGGGGAAAGAGCCGGGATCACCTACCCTCTGTGACAAGGGGGTTGGTGAGCGTAGCCCCCTAGTAATTCCTATATAATGTTTTGCTTATAAATTCTATATGATTGTTTCACTCTGCCAACCACCCTTCATGTTTAGCAGGAAGGAATGGCTTGTGATGTTGGGACATGCACATCGGGTAAGCTGATAAGTGCATGCTCTGATTTTAAGGCAAGAAGAGACCATGCCTTGTTATGGTCATTTATTTTTATCTTAGAGCATGGTTTTATTATAATGTTTGCTATAAGGTTTTACTTCTAGTCTGCATTACAAACTCAGTTGTGTAAGGTTCTTTCCTAATTCCTTTAGTAATCATATAATGCCTCCTAAAATGTAATTCTGTCTGAAATTCTCTGTAAAATGATTTGGTATGAGTGAAGGATGGGTGCATAGTTAAAAATAAGCATGAAATCCAGCACAAATGTCCAGATGGTGAAGAAGGAATGAGAAGCTTGTAGATCCCAGGAGACCACAGAAAAGATCCCCTTTTGTACCTGATGCTAAACAGATAAAGACGAAACCAGGTATGGGAAAAAGATTAATGATCACAGCATGACATTGCAAAATCCATAGATTAACATGGGAATTTACAACTATAAAAATAGTTTGTATTGCCATGGTTATTTGGGTTCAGTCTTGCAAAATCTTTGAGCAGTGGCTCACGACTGGCTGAGCCCAGCTCCTCACTTGTGTTCAATCTTAACTGTCCATTAGATTGATTTGAGCCACGACAAGCTGGGAACTTTAAGATCATCCTCAGGACTGTTGTGTGTGAATGAATGCGTATGTTGCTTTTCATGTGGAATTTTCAACAAACATGGTGTTTTGCCTTTTCTCCTGAAAAAGATCCTGTGTGCTTCTTACAAACATAACAGTGTAACTCCATGTTTTTCAGATGTTCTTTGCCTTATTGGTAAAAAGCTAATCCCAACTATTTCTTGCATTGTAATCTTACTGATTTCTCAGCTAGACTGGGAGACCCAAGGAATTGCAAGCTTGCTACTTAACTTTGGAGAGGTGTTGACCTTTGTGGAAGAAAACATTGTCCTCACTCTGAGTTTGTAAGCAACAAGTAGCCAGAGGCAGTTTTATTATGAGCTGCAGCAAGGGAAAAACTGGTTCGGATGGGGGGGAGCCCCCCCTCTCAAGGGAAAAACTGGTTCGGATGGGGGGGAGTCCCCCCTCCTTCCGAGGCAGATCTTCGAATACAAGCAATTATGAAGCAGTTTATATACTGTCTATTAGATATAATAACAATAGCAATTAGTCTCCTTCCCATTACAAACACCAATGGCTAACAGTTATTTAGTTCCACCCAGATGCTCCTTATCTCAAGGTCCCTGCCAGAGTCAGCATTCTATCCTTATCGCCGAATGGAGGCGAGAGGCAAAGGCAGCGTCTAATTACAGATCTTGCGTTGTCAGGCCACAGACTTAGCCTGACTCTTGCTCTCTTGTTAACAAGACCAAGATGGCTGCACACAAATTCCCTTATTCCCTTTTCCTGCCTCCACACCTTAGTCTAGGACCTAGTTGTAACCACTAAAATACGAACACATTCTGGGCTTTCTGACTCCTGAAGAATGCTAGCTAGTCTCTTGTGCCTGTGATTTTGCTTTGGAGTTGAGAATATTGAGCATGTTGCAGAATCAGGCCCTTGATAATGCTCTACCCCAAAGCAAGATCAACAGCTCAATGTAGGGCTGATATCAAGTGGAATACCCCAAAGGTAGGTTCTGGGGCTGGTTTTGTTCAACATCTTTATTAATGACCCTAGTTAGGGGATGGATTGCACCATCAGCAAGTTCTCAGCTAACACTAAGCTAAGGGAAGAAGTAGATACATTGGAGGGTAGGGATGGGGTACAGAGTGACCTAGATGAATTGGAGGATTGGGTCAAATGACATCTGATAAAGTTCAACAAGGAGAAGTGCAGAGTCCTGCACTTGGGAAAGAAGAATCCCAAGCACTGCTACAAGCTGGGGATTGATTGGCTAAGCAGTAGTTTGGCAAAAAAAGGACCTGAGGATGAGAATCTAGATATGAGTCAATAGTGTGCCCTTGTACCGCTGGTAAAATGGCCTGGGGACAAGCTCTCTGCTTGCCTTGCCCCATCCGCACGTTGATCAGAAATGCAGCTGCAGGACATTTTTTTCTTTAAAAACTGAGTCTGGAGGGGAGGGAGGAAAGTGTTAGGAGCTGCTCCTGCCCCCAGCAAAATCCAACTGGCTAGTTTCTGGCCAGAAAAGGGGCCAGTGGGAGCTGCCTGTTTCAATACCAGGCAGCCACAAATCACAAGGTGCGCCAAAGCATGTGGCTGCAGCCTGTGCAAGAGTGGGGCGGGCAGGCAGGGAAGCTGATTCAGGAACAGCTGCTGGCTGGTAAGTCTCCTACAGATGACCGAGGAGGGATTTGATAGTAGCCTTTGATTACCTGAAGGGAGGTTCTAAAGAGGATGGAGAGAGGCTGTTCTCAGTGGTGACAGATGACAGAATGAGGAGCAATAGTCTTAAAGTGCAGTAGGGAAGGTCTATGTTGGATATTAGGAAAAACTATTTCCCTAGGAGGGTGGTGAAGCACTGGAATGGGTTACCTAGGGAGGTCGTGGAATCTCCATCCCTATAGGACCTTGAGTCTTGGTTTGATAAAGCCTGGCTGGGATGATTTAGTTGGGATTGGTCCTGCTTTTAGCAGGGGATTGGACTCAACAATTTCCTGAGATCTCTTCTAGCCCTATGGTTCTATAAGATCACCCACAGTGTTGACATCATAGTTTATAACAGATGTCACTTTAAAACTAACAATACCCTAATACATCTGTTAGTCTTTAAAGTGCCACTGGATTCCTTGTCTGTTTCAGCAAAAACAACTAACATGACTACCTCCTTGAAACCTAAAACAGATTCAACAATTTCCTGAGATCTCTTCTAGCCCTATGGTTCTATAAGATCACCCACAGTGTTGACATCATAGTTTATAACAGATGTCACTTTAAAACTAACAATACCCTAATACATCTGTTAGTCTTTAAAGTGCCACTGGATTCCTTGTCTGTTTCAGCAAAAACAACTAACATGACTACCTCCTTGAAACCTAAAACAGATGTGCTGCTGTATCTAAGGTCAAAGGGAGCACTCATGAAAACACTGCTTCTCTAGCATACACCTTTCAATATCTATTTTAAGTCCTTGTATATTTCCCATTATTATAGTATCTGAGCATTCCAGAATCTTTAAGTTGTCTATTCTCACAACACTCCTGTGAGGTAGAGCAGTGCCACCATTCCCAGCAGATGGCGAACTGAGCTACAGAGTGACTAAGTGACTTTCCCAAGGTCAGACATGAGATGTGGCAGAGTAGGGAACTGAATTCACTCCCCTGAGTTGCACGCTACCACTCTCATCAGTTTACCATGCCTTCTTTTTCAGACTGTTTACTGCATTTGTTTTATTTCTGTTAGAATGAACTTGCACACGCAAGCTGGCACTTCCCATTGCTCTAATAAATCACAGCACATAGCTACTGTGCTTTAAGTAGCTGTCAGATTACAGAACAGTCTTATAGAATTAAATTAATAGGGATGACACCTGTAGAAATCCCATTCAAAATCTTTAGAATGTAATAGAGAATTGACTTCCTTTTTTCCAGAGATTTTTTTTCTCAAGATAATTATTGGCAATATTGTTGGTTCCTACATGGAGCAGTAGGAAGGAGTGGTGGTCCAAGAGCTTGATCAGTCTCAGAAGATTCTTGGTCACATTCTGAATTCTAGCTCCAGGCAAGCAGTACACTTCCCGCATTTCCCAGTCTTCAGATGGATGGCCCCCAGCCACCATCACCCATCTTGTTCTCTTGGTAGTGGTAGTACTTTCCCCCCAAGGCATTATGGGATTTGTACTCTCTAAGGCTTGATTGTAACACATAAGATCTTCTCAGTAAAAGTCAGAGGCTCCTACATTAAAATGGGACCTAAACATGGCTGGGATCCTGGGATGGACCCACTTTTCTTGGTATCTTGCACTGCATCTTCTCGAGGCAATATGTGAGGAACGTGTGTGGTCATAGCCCCTCTGCCCCAGATTTCTGTGAGTGTTCACATGAGAGCATGGCCAGCAGCAGCCTCTCAGCATTCTGCAGGGAGGAAGGGACAGGAGCTGCTTCCAGCCAGAGAGATGGGGATGGGAAGTAGGGATGACTTGGCCTGTGTCAGGAGATGATCTCTTTGCAGAGATGATCTCTTCCCTCCTCTCCTCCCCCTGGCTCCCTCATGGCCAGAAGCAGCTTGCCCCCTCCTGCCCATAGAAAGGCAGTTAATACCTCCAAGTTACTGCTGACCACTGACCTAACCAAACCACCCCCTGTCCCTTAGTTACAAAATGAGTAGGAAGGGATTAATCCCTAAAGATGCCCAGTGTACCAGGGCCCAGGAACCTGACCACAATTGCTTCAAGGATCCCAGACAGAGAAGTGGCTGAGCAAGAGAGGGTTTCTAGCAATGTTTCCACTAATCTTTCATCAATATGTGGATTTATTCCTATCCATGTGGAATAAATTTTATGTGCATTGAGGCATGTGCGAATGTGCACCACCAATAGAAAAAAACCCACCTAGATGTGGGTG